ATTAATTTGCTGATCAAAACAAGCTTGTTGTTGTAATTTTTACGAAGAAACTCCACTATTCGGGTAGTTACTGAGTCAAATAGGCTCAGTAAACGACAGAGTAAACTAGATTTAGTTGACCATCCTTTTGAAACCTCAATTGTGTAAACTTCGTGAAGGTATTCATGTACCGCTGGATTTCCTATTTGCCTAGGAATGAGTTGATAATATCGGCCCACTATTTTACATTCTCAATCGACAATTAACCAACAAGCGGTTGCCTAGTGTTGCCCGAAACGGAATTCACAATGAGTCTGTGATGCAGTGTTCGTGGTGTTTGGTTAAATATATTGCATTTCGTTCGATACACTCATTTGCAATTCGATTTGGTTTTCACGAGAGACTCAACCGAATCTCTCGTTTATGATATTGTACAACTGAATGTACTGAGCACAGACCGCCTCATGATTCAGTTGGCACGATATTCGAGAAACGCATTATATGATGATATGATATGATATTCCAGCTGTTAAATATTGCGCCATCAGTTCATTCTGACGCTTACTTGCGTCAGATTAAGTGGTTGTCAGATTCGGTTCCTTTGTGCGACCTGAAGGTGAGAATGGTACGTTGACCCCTGTGAGACGTGGTACCGCCGATTATTTATTGGAAGCTATCTGTCTGACGATTCGGAAGCATCTAGGAAATGGAGCAGAAACTAGATACCAAAGCTTTGACAACATGGGGCGTCTAGTTCCAGCTGCGGGTACCTCACTAGATGCTGAATCTCTGGGGTTTCAGTGCAGCTTTCCGGTTTTCAGGAAGCCGAATTCCCTTGTTTTTAGGTTGCATTTCCAATCTTTTTAATTCTAACGAAACGAGTTGACAGCTTCTGTGCGCAAACTTATTTATCTCCTGCTATCTGTTGTGCTTTCTTTCAATTCAGTATGGAGCCCAGCAGCAAACAAGTATTCCAGCCTATTCACACCGAAGCGCTGTCTTCCTGGGCATCCAACTCCTCAAAACTCCCAAGGATATTCATTCAGGAAGTTCATCTAGACAGCGACATGCTTCGCAAGTTCGGTCATGCTGATCGTGGTATTCCTGCGTTTTACGGAAAGGCCGAACCGGAAATCGAACTACAGACTAAACAGTTGATGGATAAGAATTTTCTTAAAGTTTTCGCTTAACTTGGTTGAAACTCTTATTCTTTTATTGTGATATGTTCCATAGGCAATCTGTTTCCGCATAAATATTCTCCTGCAGTTCCAATGCTTTTTCTGAAGTGATACACTCTTCTCCCCATCAAAGGCTGTGAATTTCTACCAACTACCAACCCAGTTATTTGAACAAATTGTTCCACTCAGACGGTGTTTTTCACCTAAAAATATCGGTTAATTGGAAATGGCAACCTGAAGTTAGTCGTGAGGTTTTCGTCCGAAATCCTCCTTTACCAAAGCTCACTTAAGGCAGATGTCTTCTTTTTCAGTGGACATGCTATGAGCCTTGCACTTCATTCTGTATATCGAAGGCAGGGACCAGTTGATATCAAATAGCAAAGAACTCAAGCTTTGACAACTACATTTGTCGGACGAAAAGCGGTGATAACGAGGGAATAACAGTGATAAGAAAACAATCTGTGGCTCTCTGTGCCCACTTCGTTGGACGTTTGGAGAACAGACAAGTAAAATGCGCAAAACGGCTTCAGCACGCACTCTTATCTGGATCGTTCTGCACGGCAAAACAGAGCATTCATTTTTCAGTTCCACCAATTAGCTTGGTTTTTCGGTGCTTTCTAGTTTACCTTTTCGCTATTCAGCATACGTCCTCTTCAGACAGTCTGGACAGTCTGGAAGAATGAAAATGATGCACCATCACACTGAAGAGCCGTGCTTTTTGGGACACTATAATAATATTTGGGTTAACACAAAACTTCAGCTCTACTGCTACATCACCAAGGTCTTCTCGTACACTTTCGGGATCATTGTTGATGTCGATGAACGAACGTGAAAACGTCGCCGTGTAGTCACAAAATATACTACAAATATATACTACAAATATATATACTAGACAATTCGTGGCAAAATGGGAATGGGCAATTCGCCCCGACGTAAGGAGCAATCCTGTTGGGTGTTTTCGCCTGAACGTTCCAAAATTACGGTAGGCTTAAATATATACTAGACAATTCGTGGTAAAATGGGAATGGGCAATTCGCCCCGACGGAAGGAGCAATCCTGTTGAGTGTTTTCGCCTGAACGTTCCAGCGGTCTAGCTAATCCTGTTTGTCGCTGGGTTGTCTTCTTGCTTCCCCTTGAGCTGTGTTCAAAGCATTTGTCAGTGTCATTCAGCCTTGTTTTTCTACAAACTTATTGGTGACTAAATTGGTAACTTTATGAAGCATTTGCGCAAAACTGGTTTCCGAGCCCTACCTCAGTGAACGGAAGACTGGCTTAAACAGCCCACATGACAGTGAATTACCGCACACCTAGTTAAATCAAACACAGTCCGTCCGTATCACAAGCGAGAGAATCGATTGAGTGAGAGGTCTCTCGCAAAACCAAATTTGTTTGTAAATGAGTGTATTTCGCTAGGTTGCATCTCATTTAGTTCAACTTGTCTCGCATAAAACTAATCAAAGTCCGTTTATCCCACGCGGCCGTGGCGAACTGAATAACGGTCCTTGAACTCTAACTTACCGTAAGTATAATCAAAACTCCCTTGGTGTTCGATAGACCGAATGAATCACGTGAACACAGTTATCACTCTCCTATTCATTTTCAATCACACTTGGCGAACTGAACTTTAACCGCATCAGTCACTTGATCCCAGTCTAGTTGTTTGTCGAGTACGGCAGTCTCTAATGCATTGTTGTCATCTCAGAGTTTTAATGGTTTCAATGTGATCCAGGAGAGACTGCTCGACATAAGAAAATTCTCGTCGGCCTTTTTAGAAGGTCGAATCCGCGGGAAGAGCCGGAAAGTGCCGGGTTGCATCGACCTGATGAAATGAAGTCACGTCTGTCACAGCATTTTGCGGAATTGGCCGACGACAATTACTCTAGCGTATATTATCTGGAATTGGACCCTTTTATCAATGTTCTGAAGCACGACAGTTATTCTGGCATATATTGGCTGTAAGTGTTCTCGTTTATCTTGATATTTTCCCATTTCGTTTTCTAGGAGGCAAATTTTGCCGAAGGCCCCACTTATCTAGTTTCTGACGCAATTTGCCGACAACCTAATTGTTGTCGGCAAATTGCATAGTTTAGCATATATTGTTTAGCATATATTGTGCGGAATTGGCCCCATTCATCAATGTTCTGAAGGACGACAATTTTGCCATATATTGGCTGCTATTCGTGTCGTTTGTCTTCATATATTGGCAGTTGATTTTCCAGGAGGCACATTCTGCCGAAGTCTCCACTTACCCACCTTCTGAAGGAATCGGCCGTCGCCATTTAGTTTGGCATACATTGACGGCAGTTAGTGTCGTTTATATTCTGCCATTTCATGTTCCAGGATGCAAATTATGGAGGTAGTTGGGTAAGCTGGTTCCTGTCTTCTGTGAGTTGTTCTTTCCTCCAGTCCATAATACACAGTTGACAAGGCGTCCGAAGTGAAAATGTACCAAATATCGGTCTTCGCTTGTTTGCAGGCCATCATAAAGTAGCCCCTTAAATGCAGGACCACTTCCTTTGGATAAAATCCCCATTCAGCTACACCCTGTTTGCTACCGTGAGCCCTCAAAATCAAAGATGTACCCATAATGCTGGTATATTCACATAAGCATAGTCAGCCAAACTAAATGGCGACGGCCGATTCCTTCAGAAGGTGGGTAAGTGGAGAATTCGGCAGAATTTGCCTCCTGGAAAATCAACTGCCAATATATGAAGACAAACGACACGAATAGCAGCCAATATATGGCAAAATTGTCGTTGATGAATGGGGCCAATTCCGCACAATATATGCTAAACAATATATGCTAAACTATGCAATTTGCCGACAACAATTAGGTTGTCGGCAAATTGCGTCAGAAACTAGATAAGTGGGGCCTTCGGCAAAATTTGCCTCCTAGAAAACGAAATGGGAAAATATCAAGATAAACGAGAACACTTACAGCCAATATATGCCAGAATAACTGTCGTGCTTCAGAACATTGATAAAAGGGTCCAATTCCAGATAATATACGCTAGAGTAATTGTCGTCGGCCAATTCCGCAAAATGCTGTGACAGACGTGACTTCATTTCATCAGGTCGATGCAACCCGGCACTTTCCGGCTCTTCCCGCGGATTCGACCTTCTAAAAAGGCCGACGAGAATTTTCTTATGTCGAGCAGTCTCTCCTGGATCACATTGAAACCATTAAAACTCTGAGATGACAACAATGCATTAGAGACTGCCGTACTCGACAAACAACTAGACTGGGATCAAGTGACTGATGCGGTTAAAGTTCAGTTCGCCAAGTGTGATTGAAAATGAATAGGAGAGTGATAACTGTGTTCACGTGATTCATTCGGTCTATCGAACACCAAGGGAGTTTTGATTATACTTACGGTAAGTTAGAGTTCAAGGACCGTTATTCAGTTCGCCACGGCCGCGTGGGATAAACGGACTTTGATTAGTTTTATGCGAGACAAGTTGAACTAAATGAGATGCAACCTAGCGAAATACACTCATTTACAAACAAATTTGGTTTTGCGAGAGACCTCTCACTCAATCGATTCTCTCGCTTGTGATACGGACGGACTGTGTTTGATTTAACTAGGTGTGCGGTAATTCACTGTCATGTGGGCTGTTTAAGCCAGTCTTCCGTTCACTGAGGTAGGGCTCGGAAACCAGTTTTGCGCAAATGCTTCATAAAGTTACCAATTTAGTCACCAATAAGTTTGTAGAAAAACAAGGCTGAATGACACTGACAAATGCTTTGAACACAGCTCAAGGGGAAGCAAGAAGACAACCCAGCGACAAACAGGATTAGCTAGACCGCTGGAACGTTCAGGCGAAAACACTCAACAGGATTGCTCCTTCCGTCGGGGCGAATTGCCCATTCCCATTTTACCACGAATTGTCTAGTATATATTTGTATATATTTGTAGTATATTTTGTGACTACACGGAGACGTTTTTACGTTCGTTCATCGACATCAACAGTGATCCCGAAAGTGTACGAGAAGACCTTGGTGATGTAGCAGTAGAGCTGAAGTTTTGTGTTAACCCAAATATTATTATAGTGTCCCAAAAAGCACGGCTCTTCAGTGTGATGGTGCATCATTTTCATTCTTCCAGACTGTCCAGACTGTCTGAAGAGGACGTATGCTGAATAGCGAAAAGGTAAACTAGAAAGCACCGAAAAACCAAGCTAATTGGTGGAACTGAAAAATGAATGCTCTGTTTTGCCGTGCAGAACGATCCAGATAAGAGTGCGTGCTGAAGCCGTTTTGCGCATTTTACTTGTCTGTTCTCCAAACGTCCAACGAAGTGGGCACAGAGAGCCACAGATTGTTTTCTTATCACTCGTTATCCCTCGTTATCACCGCTTTTCGTCCGACAAATGTAGTTGTCAAAGCTTGAGTTCTTTGCTATTTGATATCAACTGGTCCCTGCCTTCGATATACAGAATGAAGTGCAAGGCTCATAGCATGTCCACTGGAAAAGAAGACATCTGCCTTAAGTGAGCTTTGGTAAAGGAGGATTTCGGACGAAAACCTCACGACTAACTTCAGGTTGCCATTTCCAATTAACCGATATTTTTAGATGAAAAACACCGTCTGAGTGGAACAGAATTTGTTCATTTGAACTCGGTTGGTAGTTGGTAGAAATTCACAGCCTTTGATGGGGGGGAGAGTACATCACTTCAGAAAAAGCATTGAAACTGCAGGAGAATATTTATGCGAAAACAGATCGCCTCTGGAACATATCACAATAAAAGAATAAGAGAATTTCAACCAAGTTAAGCGAAAACTTTAAGAAAATACTTATAAATCAACTGTTTAGTCTGTAGTTCGATTTTCGGTTCCGCATTTCCGTAAAACGGAGGAATACCACGATCAGAATAACAGAATTTGCGAAGCATGTAGCTGTCTACGTGAACTCCCTGAATGAATGTCCTTGGGAGTTTTGAGGAGTTGGATGCCCCGGAAGACAGCGCTTTGGTGTGAATAGGATTGACTGCTTGTTCGATGCTGGCCTCCATACTGAATTGAAAGAAAGTACAACAGATAGCAGGAGATAAATACGTTTGTGCAAGCAATTGGCCGACGACAATTACTCTAGCGTATATTGTCTGGAATTGGACCCTTTTATCAATGTTCTGAAGCACGACAATTATTTTGCCATATATTGGCTGCAAATCGTCGCGTTTATCTTCATATATTGCCACTTGATGTTCCAGGAGGCAAATTCTGCCGAAAACCCCATTTACCCACCTTCTGAAGCAATATGCCCGCGACAAATATTTGCGCATATATTGGCTGCTCTTCGTGTCGTTTGTCCTCCTATATTGTCATTTCATGATGCAGAAGGCAAATTTTGCTCAACGCCCCATTTATCCATCTTCTGAAGCAATATGCCCAGGGCAATTATTTTGGCATATGTTGGCTGCAATTCGTCTCGTTTATCTATATTGTCCATGATGCAGAAGGCAAATTTTGCTCAACGCCCCATTTATCCATCTTCTGAAGCAATATGCCCAGGGCAATTATTTTGGCTGGCATTGGCTGCAATTCGTCTCGTTAAGTGGTCTCTCTTCATATTTTGCCATTTCGTGTTTTACGGGGCAAATTTTGCCGAAGGCCCCATTTACCCACCTTCTGAAGCACTATGCTATGCCCAATTATTTTGCCATATATTGGCTGCTATTCGTGCCGTTTATCTTCATATATTGTCATTTCCTGATGCAGAAGGCAAATTTTGCTCAACGCCCCTTTTATCCATCTTCTGAAGCAATTTGCCGACAACAATTATTTTGTCACATATTGGCTGCTATTCGTGTCGTTTATCTTCATATATTGGCAATTGATATTCCAGGAGGCTAATTCTCCCGAAAACCCCACTTAACCACTTTCTGAAGCAATATGCTCACCGCAATTATTTTGCAATATATTGGCTGCTATTCGTGTCGTTTATCTTCATATATTGGCAATTGATATTCCAGGAGGCTAATTCTCCCGAAAACCCCACTTAACCACTTTCTGAAGCAATATGCTCACCGCAATTATTTTGCAATATATTGGCTGCTATTCGTGTCGTTTATCTTCATATATTGGCAATTGATATTCCAGGAGGCTAATTCTCCCGAAAACCCCACTTAACCACTTTCTGAAGCAATATGCTCACCGCAATTATTTTGCAATATATTGGCTGCTATTCGTGTCGTTTATCTTCATATATTGGCAATTGATATTCCAGGAGGCTAATTCTCCCGAAAACCCCACTTAACCACTTTCTGAAGCAATATGCTCACCGCAATTATTTTGCAATATATTGGCTGCTATTCGTGTCGTTTATCTTCATATATTGGCAATTGATATTCCAGGAGGCTAATTCTCCCGAAAACCCCACTTAACCACTTTCTGAAGCAATATGCTCACCGCAATTATTTTGCAATATATTGGCTGCTATTCGTGTCGTTTATCTTCATATATTGGCAATTGATATTCCAGGAGGCTAATTCTCCCGAAAACCCCACTTAACCACTTTCTGAAGCAATATGCTCACCGCAATTATTTTGCAATATATTGGCTGCTATTCGTGTCGTTTATCTTCATATATTGGCAATTGATATTCCAGGAGGCTAATTCTCCCGAAAACCCCACTTAACCACTTTCTGAAGCAATATGCTCACCGCAATTATTTTGCAATATATTGGCTGCTATTCGTGTCGTTTATCTTCATATATTGGCAATTGATATTCCAGGAGGCTAATTCTCCCGAAAACCCCACTTAACCACTTTCTGAAGCAATATGCTCACCGCAATTATTTTGCAATATATTGGCTGCTATTCGTGTCGTTTATCTTCATATATTGGCAATTGATATTCCAGGAGGCTAATTCTCCCGAAAACCCCACTTAACCACTTTCTGAAGCAATATGCTCACCGCAATTATTTTGCAATATATTGGCTGCTATTCGTGTCGTTTATCTTCATATATTGGCAATTGATATTCCAGGAGGCTAATTCTCCCGAAAACCCCACTTAACCACTTTCTGAAGCAATATGCTCACCGCAATTATTTTGCAATATATTGGCTGCTATTCGTGTCGTTTATCTTCATATATTGGCAATTGATATTCCAGGAGGCTAATTCTCCCGAAAACCCCACTTAACCACTTTCTGAAGCAATATGCTCACCGCAATTATTTTGCAATATATTGGCTGCTATTCGTGTCGTTTATCTTCATATATTGGCAATTGATATTCCAGGAGGCTAATTCTCCCGAAAACCCCACTTAACCACTTTCTGAAGCAATATGCTCACCGCAATTATTTTGCAATATATTGGCTGCTATTCGTGTCGTTTATCTTCATATATTGGCAATTGATATTCCAGGAGGCTAATTCTCCCGAAAACCCCACTTAACCACTTTCTGAAGCAATATGCTCACCGCAATTATTTTGCAATATATTGGCTGCTATTCGTGTCGTTTATCTTCATATATTGGCAATTGATATTCCAGGAGGCTAATTCTCCCGAAAACCCCACTTAACCACTTTCTGAAGCAATATGCTCACCGCAATTATTTTGCAATATATTGGCTGCTATTCGTGTCGTTTATCTTCATATATTGGCAATTGATATTCCAGGAGGCTAATTCTCCCGAAAACCCCACTTAACCACTTTCTGAAGCAATATGCTCACCGCAATTATTTTGCAATATATTGGCTGCTATTCGTGTCGTTTATCTTCATATATTGGCAATTGATATTCCAGGAGGCTAATTCTCCCGAAAACCCCACTTAACCACTTTCTGAAGCAATATGCTCACCGCAATTATTTTGCAATATATTGGCTGCTATTCGTGTCGTTTATCTTCATATATTGGCAATTGATATTCCAGGAGGCTAATTCTCCCGAAAACCCCACTTAACCACTTTCTGAAGCAATATGCTCACCGCAATTATTTTGCAATATATTGGCTGCTATTCGTGTCGTTTATCTTCATATATTGGCAATTGATATTCCAGGAGGCTAATTCTCCCGAAAACCCCACTTAACCACTTTCTGAAGCAATATGCTCACCGCAATTATTTTGCCATATATTGGCTGCTAGTCGTGTCGTTTGTTTCATATATTGGCAATTGATGTTCCAGGAGGCAAATTCTGCCGAAAATCGCAGTTGACCACCTTCTGAAGCAATGTGCCCACGACAATTATTTTGGCATATATTGGCTGCAATTCGTCTCGTTTACCTTCATATGTTGGCGTTTGATGTTCCAGGAGGCAAATTCTGCCGAAAATCGCAGTTGACCACCTTCTGAAGCAATGTGCCCACGACAATTATTTTGGCATATATTGCCTGCTCTTCCTGTCGTTTACCTTCATATGTTGGCGTTTGATGTTCCAGGAGGCAAAATCTGCCGAAAACCCCAGTTAACCACCTTCTTAACCAATATGCCCACGGCAATGATTTCGCCAT